GTGAGACATCATCTGTACAATAAATCAAAAAATCAGCCAGGCATGGTAGCGCATGCCTGTAATTCCAGCTACTCGGAAGGCTGAGGCGGAAGGATCGCCGGAGCCCGGCAGGTCGAGGCTACGGTGGCCGGGAGCAGCCACTGCACTCCAGTCTGGGCGATAGAGTGAGACTCCAACTCAAAAACAAAACAAAACAAAACAAAAAAACACTTCTCTATAGCAAATGAATCTATTGCATTGTGGTCCCTTTTTATAAAATAGTCACTTTATAGAAAGAAGGGCTACTGATTTGAAAAGAGCTCGGAGCTGAGCACCCCACAGGCCTGTTCTCTTTGCCATCAAGCAGCAAATGTCCTTCTAGTCTCCTTCTCACTGCAAGGAGATCAACACTCCTGCTAGGAGTAGTACAAAGTACTTGAACTCCCCAACCATTCCATGAGGTGGAACACCACCACAAAATGATGGTCAGCATGGGAAAGAGTTAGAAATGATCAATGTGAAGCAGCAGTTCTAAGGAAAGATTAGCAATGGATTCAGCAGGGCCTCAGCAGAAGAACGTGTCACCGGAAGAAGCGAGATCTATTTTAGGAATATAAGGCTGCTTCAGCACCAGGAAATCTTACCAACACAACAGAATCCAGAAATAGATTACAGGACATATGGAAAGGTACATTTTTATTTCAGTGGAATTACCACGTTTGGCTATCCATCTGGAAGGAAGGAAAAGTTGAATTCCTCTTTCACCCCACCAACACTGGCCATATTGCCCAGCTGTGTGTGAATGGCTTGTCCAGAACACAGCAGCATGGACGGAGTTGGGCAGTGGATCCATGTTCAAATACAGATTCCAGATGAATTATCATTTAAAATGTAAAAAAGAAAAACAAGTCTCCAGGAAATTTTTGTTTGTTTGTTTTGAGTCAGAGTCTCATTCTGTCACCCAGACTGGAGTGCATTGACCGCTCCCGGCCACCACAGCCTCGACCTGCTGGGCTCTGGCGATCCTTCCACCTCAGCCTTCCAAGTAGCTGGAACTACAGGCACACGCTACCATGCCCGGCTAATTTTTTGATTTATTGTAGAGATGAGGTCTCACCAAATTGCCCAGGCAAGTCTCGAACTCACGGGCTCAGGCAATCCACTCACCTCAGCGTCCCAAAGGCGCGGGATTACAGGCTGAGCCACCAAGCCTGACCTAAAAGTAAACATTTTATATGGCATAGATACTATGAAATAACATCAGTAATAGGCTGGGAAAAATATTTATGGTGCGTAAAGCAAAAATGGATATTATGCATAATATGCAGGGTTCTTAGAAATTGTTGAGGAGCCAGATGTGGTGGTTCACACCTGTAATCCTAGAACTTTGGGAGGTGGAGGTTGAGAGGACTGCCTGAGCCCAGGGGTTCGGGACCAGCCTGAGCAACTTGGTGAGACCTCGTCTCTATAATAAGTAAAAAATTAGCTGGGTGTGGTGGTGCAGTCTTCTAGTTTCTGCTACTTGGAAGGCTGAGGTGGAAGGATCACCTGAGCCTATAGTTCTAGGCTATGGTGGCTGTGAGTGCACCACTACACTCCAGCCGGGCAAAAGTGACTGCAACTCAAAAAAAAAAAAAAAGTTATTGATGTGGAAATCTAAAGAAAGAATGGTAACAGGTAAAGATACAGTTTAGGCCAGGAGTGGTGGCTCACACCTGTAATCCTAGCACTTAGGGAGACAGAGGTGAGGGGATTGCCTGAGCCCATGGGTTCAAGACCAGCCTGGGCAACATGGCAAGACTTCATCTCTACAATTAAAAATTAAAAAATTGGCTGGGCTCGGTGGCTCAGCCTGTAATCCCAGCACTTTGGGAGGCCGAGGTTAGTGGATTGCCTGAGCCCGTGGGTTCGAGACCCGCCTGGGCAACTTGGCAAGACCTCATCTCTACAATAAATCAAAAATTAGCCGGGCGAGGTAAGTGCGTGCCTGTAGTTCCAGCTACTTGGAAGACTGAGGCGGAAGGATCGCTGAAGCCCAGCAGGTCGATCCTGTGGTGGCTGTGAGCGTGCCACTACACTCCAGTCTGGGCGACGGAGTGAGACTCCAACTCAAAAAAAAAAAAAAATTTAAAAAATTTGCTAGGCATGGTGGCACATGGCTATAGTTCCAGTCACTTGGAAAGCTAAAGCAGAAGGATCGCCTGAACCCAGCAGGTTGAGGCTGCGGTGGCCGTCAGCATGCCCCTGCACTCCAGCCTGGGTGACAGCGTGAGACTGACTGGAGGAGAGAAAAAGCAGTTCATAGAAGAGAAATTTCAGGCAGGGCTTAGTATCTCATGCTTGTAACCCTTCCGGCATTTTAGGAGACCAAGGTGGGAGGATTGCTTGAGGCCAGGAGTTCAAGACTAGCCTGGGCAGAATAACAGGACCCTCTCTCTTAAAAAATAAGAAGATGTAGCCGGGTGTGGTAGCGTGTGCCTGTAGTTCCAGCTACTTGGAAGGCTGAAGCGGAAGGATCGTCAGAGCCCAGCAGGTCGAGGCTGCGGTGGCCGGGAGCGTGCCACTGCACTCCAGTCTGGGCGACAGAGTGAGACTCTGACTCCAAAAAAAAACAAGAAGACGGTGAATTTCAGATGACAAACACATGAAAGATTAATGATAGAAATCCAATTGTTCTATAGAAATGAAAGCCCAAGTCCAGAAAGACAGTATATGCAAGTTTATGTATCACAGTGTTGCTTGTAAGGATCAATCTGGAAAACAGCCTGTTTGTAAGCAAATTGTGGTATATCTATGACATGGAATACTTTGCACTAAATGTCTGTCTTTTGGTACGGTTCCTATGGTGTTAGATCCAGGTTGTGCATAGGTGGAAATGAGATCAAGTAGCAATCCTAAAACAGTAATGATTTTTCTTCCACTCAGGTTATTTCCAGAAGGAAGAGAATGACAAAGTACGAGAAGGCTGAGGTAAATGGATTACTTAACTAATATAAAGGCTCTATTAAATCTCTCACTCCTAATAATCACTCTGCCCTCCTAGACACTGACAGATCTCAAGTATCCTGGAGTGCCTATATAGCCCTCAGAGTCTTAGGGACAGTCTTAGAATGTGCTCTTATCTACATCTTGCATGAGCTCCATGGCAGACATTGGAGTATTCTTACTTTGAAGTCTGCCTCATAGAAAAGTGGAATGGGCTGGCTCAGCCTGTAATCCCAGCACTTTGAGATGCCGAGGCGAGTGGATTGCCTGAACCTGCAGGTTCAAGACCCACCTGGGCAACTTGGCAAGACCTCACTTCTACAATAAATCAAAAATTAGCCAGGCGTGGTAGCACGCATCTGTAGTTCCAGCTACTTGGAAGGCTAAGGCGGAAGGATCGCCGGAGCCCAGCAGGACGAGGCTGCGGTGGCCGGGAGCGGCCACTGCACTCCAGTCTGGGCAACAGAATGAGACTCCAACTCAAAAAAAAAAAAAAGAAAAGTGAAATGGAATGTTGAGTATTTTATCTTACAAAGTTATCAACATTTCATGGAACCTTTTAAAGGCATACTCCATGAATGCACATCAGGATATGAACACAGTGACCTTGAATCCTATCAATGATATCTCTCATATACTCGAATTTTTGTATATCTATGTATTTATGATAATTTGTGCCACTTACTAATGTTTTAGCAAATAACAAAAATAGAAATGCGAAAACATTGAAAAAAGCCAGGCTCAGTGGCTCAGCCTGTAATCCCGCTCCTTTGGGAGACTGAGGTGAGTGGATTGCCTGAGTCCGCGGGTTCGAGACCTGCCCGGGCAACTTGGAAAGACCTCATCTCTACAATACAATCAAAAAAATTAGCCGGGCGTGGTAGCGCACGCCTATAGTTCCAGCTACTTGTAAGGCTGAGGCAGAAGGATCGCCGGAGCCCAGCAGGTCGAGGCTGGGGTGGCCAGGAGTGGCCACTGCACTCCAGTCTGGGCGACAGAGAGACACCAACTCAAAAAAAAAAACATTGAAAAAGGTCGAATAGAACCAGAAAGTTGTAACATTTTCTGCCCATTCAATAAATCATCTGGTTTATTTGGTTTGGTGACCACAGGCCTAGAAGACTATGCTTGAATTGAATCGTAATAGGCAGAATAGCAATGTGGTGTTGTGGTTAAGAGCAGTACAGACCTTGCTCATTAGTGAGCAAGCTATATAATTTCTTTAAGCCTCCATGTTTCCTCCTCATTTGTAAAATGGAGATAATAGTATGGATCTGTTACAAGGATTAAACATAATCTGTGTACAGTAAGCATTGAAAGTAATAAGTAGTCACTATTACCATTGTTCTTTCAGTTTTGCCTGTAACTAATTGTGTGATCTAGGATGGGTCACTTAATTATGAACTTAATTTTTTTCCTATAAAATGGAGGATTATAATAGAAAATCAACGGATTCCTCCTAGCCATAAAAATAGTATGTAATTAATAAAAATCTCCTCTTAAAGATCTAGCTTCCCTGCTACTTTCTCTTGTCACTTTGGCCATCTTGTCTCTAAACAGCTGCTTGAACACACACAGTGTGCGTTTTTTTGGTAACATAACTTTCTCTTTTTTACATTTAGGTAAGACTTTTAACTATGGAAGAGGATCACTAGGGTGCAGTGGCTCATGCCTGTAATCCCAGCACTTTGGGAGGCAGAGGCAAGAGTACTGCCTGAGCCCACGGGTTTGAGACCAGCCTGGGCAATGTAGTGAGACCTGGTCTCTACAGTAAATTTAAAAAGTAGCCAGGCGTGGTGGCTATTTGGAAGGCTGAGACGGAGGGATCATCTAGCCCAGCAGGTCGAGGCTGCGGTGGCCATGAGCATGTCACTGCACTCCAGTCTGGGTGGCAGAGTAAGACTCCAATTAAAAAAAATATATATATATATGTGTGTGTGTGTGTGTGTGTGTGTGTATAGATAGATAGAAGAGGATCATCTTGCTTTCCTCTCCCATGGTTTTTAGTAACTATTTTCAGGATGAACAAGACATTAGAAAATTATTTTTAAAGATTTTTCTCTACTTTTTCGCTCTGTTTCAGATAAAGGAGATGGGTGAGCTGCATAATAGGGAACTCAATGCATGACTGCTGTAATCTGAAGATTGACCACAAGAAGGGAAGTTAGCAAATGGACTCAGATGACAGATCCAGGAGCACAAGGCGAAGAGAAGATCTTTGAGGATTACTACTTTGTTAGTTAAATAATATATTTGTAATAGTGAAGGCTGTACTCAAAATATAAGCAGCTTGAAATTGGCTTTACCAATCTTAAAATTCGACCACAAGTGACTTATATATGCAGATCTAACATAAAGCCCAGAATATGGACTGCATAGTTCAAATTATTTATGCATAATATTGAAGAGTACATTAAATATGCTTCCACAGTTGAATTTGGGTGACTGTTGTCTCATTTGTGATTGAAAGCTGCCTTTCTATTTACTTTGAGTCTTGTACATATTTGTTTTTTTATGAACTATGAAATAAAACCTTTTAAACTGAACTTCCTTTGTTTGAATCACATTGAATGAAATTTCAGATTTCATAGTATACACATTATAGGTTTAAAAGCGCTTTGAATGCTAACTACAAATTAGAGTTTCGCATGAGTTATAATCATGAATGTTCTTTTTTTTAGATTAGAAAATATAGTTTATTTAAAAGTAAATTAGACAGAAGATTCATCTCCCCAAGTTAGGGGTGGGAGCCAAAGCCAGGAAGCATGGCAATAGCCATAGCTCAAAGAGCACCTGGTCACACCAGAGTCTAGTGAAACAATGGCAAATCTAATCATGTATATTCTATATAGACTGTATAATGTATATAGACCTTCTGTACAGGGAATGCAAACAGTTTTCTTATTTTCACATATAATTATTCCCAAAAAACAATTTTTTTCTTTTTTTTTTTGAGTTGGAGTCTCACTCTATCGCCCAGACTGGAGTGCAGTAGCTGCTCCCGGCCACCGCAGCCTCGACCTGCTGGTCTCCAGCGATCCTTCCGCCTCAGCCTTCCAGGTAGCCGGAATTACAGGCATGCGCTACCACGCCCGGCAGATTTTTTTTTTTTGATTTATTGTAGAGATGAGGTCTTGCTGCCCAGGCGGGTCTCGAACCCATGGGCTCAGGCAATCCACTCACCTCAGCCTCCCAAAGGCACGGGATTACAATTACAATTACAATTACACAAGCGCGACTACAATTTTTTTCTTAATGAATTTAAGACCTGTTTAAGACCAAAATTGGCATTTTGATACAACACTGAACCTTGAGGCAGAACTGATGGAGAGTGTTGTAAACTGAATTCTATGGTTGGCTTAGAACAGTTGTTTAATACAGCACTTTTGCTGGGTACAGTGGCTCATGCCTGTAATTCCAGTATTTCAGGAGGCAGAGGCAAGAGAATTGCCTGAGCCCATGGGTTAGAAACTAGCCAGGCAACTTGGCAAGACCTCGTCTCTATAATAAATAAAAGAATTAGCCGGGTGTGATGGTGTGGGCCTGTGATTCCAAGCTACTTGGAAGGCTGAGGTGGAAGGATCACCTGAGCCCAGTAGGTCCAGGCTGCAGTGGCCATGAGTGTGCCACTGCACTCCAGCCTGGACGACAGACTGACTCAAAAAAAAACCAAACAAAAAAAAACACTTTCTCAGTGCCTTACATAATGAACCATTATGGTACAAGTGCATTTTTCAGTTACCTAGGAAAGTTATATGAAGTTAAAGTATCCGGGATTATTTTGCAGTGGGAAAAGAATAACAAAATATGAAAACTAGGGTTAAACAGTTACCTATTATTATTTATTTATTTTTCTGAGTTGGAGTCTCACTCTGTCACCAGACTGGAGTGCAGTGGCTGCTCCTCGCCACCGCAGCCTCAACCTGCTGGGCTCTGGCAATCCTTCCACCTCAGCCTTCCAAGTAGCTGGAACTACAGGCACGCGCTACTACGCCAGGCTAATTTTTTTTTGTTTATTGTAGAGATGAGGACTCACCAATTTGCCCAGGTGGATCTTGAACCCACGGGCTCAGGCAATCCAGTCACCTTAGCCTCCCAAAGCGGAGGATTACAGGCTGAGCCACCGAGCCTGGCTACCTATGATTATTTATCCCTTCTGTGGTAGGCACCATTCTACAATGGCCCTCAAGATTTTCTGCCCCTGAAGTACATACCCAGTATTAGTCAGGACCCGTGCGTGAATGATGGGTGATCTTAATGTAAATAAAAAAATTAGCCAGGTGTGGTAGTGCGCCTGTAGTTCCCGTTACTTGGAAGGCTGAGGTGGAAGGATGGCAGGAACCCAGTGGATCGTCACTGGGATAGCCGTGAGCTGGCCACTGCACTCTAGCCTGCGTGAGGAGTGACTCTGACTCAAAAAAAAAAAAAAAAGGATAGTAGACATCCTTTAGCTCTCCATGGCTGCAGCGCTGAAACCACAGCCCGGTCCTTCAGTGCTTCGCGCCGGCTCTCAGGCTCCCCCGCTGCCATTGTAACGGCTGTCCCTTTGGCTAATGACTTTTTAGCCGGGGGCACCACCACCACCATCTCCAAGAGCGAGTCAAGCTGCTGCTGCAGATGCCGCACGCCAGCAAGCAGAACGTGGCCGACCAGTGCATCCTGCGAGCAGGACGTGCTGTCCTTCTGGCGGGGCAACCTGGCCAACGTCATCTGCTACTTCTCCACGTAAGGGCTCAAGTTCGCCTTCAAGGACAAGTACAGGCAGGTCTTCCTGGGTGGCGTGGACTGGCGCACGCAGTTCTGGAGCCACTTCGCGGGCCACCTGGCTTCGTGTGGTGTGGCTGGAGCCACCTCGCTGTGCTTCTTGTACCCGTTGGACTTCGTGGGCACATGCCTGGTGGCTGATGTGGACACATCAGGTAGCGAGCACAAGTTCCGCGGCCTGGGGGACCACCTGGTAAAGATCATACTCAGTGACCGCCTGCATGGCCTGTACTGGGGCTTCAGCGTGTCGGTGCAGAGCATCATCATCTACCACGCCGCCTACTTCGGGGTCTACAACACAGCCAAGGGCATGCTACTCCACTCCAAGAATACCCACATCGTGGTCAGTTGGATGATCGCGCAGACCTTGACGGCTGTCGTGTCCTACCCCTTCAACACGGTGCATGATGATGAACATCCTGTACGCGGGCACCCTGGACTGCTGGGGAAAGATCTTCCGCAACGAGGGCACCAAGGCCTTCTTCGAGGGTGCCAGGTCCAACGTGCTGCGTGGCATTGGTGGTGCCTTCGTGCTGGTCCTCGAAGACCAGCTCAAGAAGGTCCTCTAGGCCTCCCCAGGAGCATGGCCTCCAGGGCCACTGGCAGCTCCCGACCAGAGTCCAGATGCTGCAGGGCTCATATTTATTGACCAGAACCATGTACCTTGAGAATCATGTCCCATCTGCACCAGGATCTGTCCCTGTCAGGCACTTTGCAGACAATAAAAAAGCAGGGCACTGGAAAAAATAATAGCAGACATAAGGAGCAGTCACTGCCCTTGGGCTGAGACAGAGCATGCAAAGAGAAGACCCATCCCCATCCCCCTAGTCTCCAGTGCTGGACTAGATCCAGACTTTGTGGGAGAGGGTACTCTGAATAACAGGGGAGTTGCCGTGGTGCTGCAGTGACAGAACTTGCTGAAAATCTGCCTTGTGGAACTTGCTGGAAATCTCTCTAGGGCAGGAGTCATCAAACTGCAGGCTGACCTGACATCTATTTTTATGTAGACCAGAAGTAAAGGATAGGCTGAAAAAAAAAATAGAGTATTTAATATGTGGAAATATATATGAAATGTAAATTTCAGAAGCTGGGTGCAGGGGCTCACACCTGTAATGCCAGCACTTTGGAAGGCTGAGGTGGAAGGACTGCTTGAGCTCAGAAGTTCGAGACCAGCCTAGGAAACATAGTGAAACCCCAGTCTCTACAAAATAAATAAATCCAAATAAATTCCAGTGCCCGTAAAGTTTTATTGAAACACAGTTATTCATTCATTTACATATTGTGTGTGGCTGTTTTGTGGCGCAACAGCTATTGACCCTTGAACAACGAGGGTTAGGGGTACCCAACCCTACACAGTCAAATCTACATATAACTTTCTTTTCTTTTTTTTTTTGTGAGTCTCACTCTGTTGCACAGGCGGGAGGGCAGTGGCATGCTCATGGCCACCTCAGCCTCGGTGGCCTCAACCTGCTGGGCTCAAGCGATCCCTTCCCCTCAGGCTTCCAAGTAGCTGGAACTACAGGCACGTGCCACCACATCCAGATAATTTTCTTGATTTATTGTAGAGACAGGGTCTTGCCCAGTTGCCCAGGCTGCCTGAGCTTAGGCAATTCTCTTGTCTCGGCCTCCTAAAATGTTGGGATTATAGGTGGAGCCATCACGCCTGGCTACATATAAATTTTGATTCCCCCAGAACTTAACTACTAATAGCCTGCTGTCGACTAAACAGTCAATTAACACATTTGGCATGTCTATGCATTATATACTGTATTCTTACAATGAAGTGAGCTAGAGAAAAGATGTTATTAAGAAAATCACAGGATAAAATATATATACTGTTCGTTAAGTGGAAGTGGACCATCACAAAGGTGTTCATTCTTGTCTTCTCGTTGAGTAGGCTGAGGAGGAGAAAGGAAAGGGGTTGGTCATGCTGTCTCCGAGTGGCAGAGGCAGAAGGGGAGGCAGGGAGACCGGCACACTCAGTGTCTGTTTTATTGAAAAGATCTGCATATAACGCACTCTCACAGTTCTAACCCTTGTTGTTCAAGTTGAGACAGACCCAATAGCCCTCAAAGTCTAAAATATTTACCCTCTGGTCCTTTACAGGAGACGTTTTCTGGCCCGTTTGCTGGGTAGTTTTTCCCAGGTAGGTGTCTCAGCAGACATAGGCAGTCTATAAAACTGCCCCAGTAGCCGGGCATGGTGGCTCACGCCTGTACTCCCAGCACTTTGGAAGGCAGAGGGAAAGGACTGCCAGCACTTTGGGAGGCAGAGGCGAGAGGATTGCCTGGGCCCAGGGGTCAGAGATCAGACTGGGCAACGTGGCAAGACCTTGTCTCCAGAATAAATTAGAAAAAATTAGCCAGGTGTGGTGGCGCACACCTGCAGTTCCAGCTACTTGGAAGGCTGTGGTGGCCATGAGCGTGCCACTGCCCTTCAGCCTCAGGGACAGAGTGAGACTCCTACTCAAAAACAACAACAGACTGCCCCAGCAGGTGGTGGAATGGGGCAGGTTCTCAGGGGAGCCGTTGGCTGCTGCCCACGCAGGCACAGCTGTGTGCTAGACACCCACCAAGCCACAAGAGCCGGATGAAGGAGCAGCCCTGGGTGGGGCCAGAGGCCGCTGTGCCAGCACGCCAAAACTGGGAGAAAAGAGCTTTCTTGCAGTGCTTCTTCAGCGCCCTCTGCTGACAAAGCCGTAGACCAATTTCACAAAGAAGCACAAAAGGCAAATTAGAGGCAAGTCACTAACTGGTACACTCTTCAACCCATTGCTTCCTAG